GGAGCCCCTGAAGTTCCAAAAAGTTAAAGAATTATAAAATTAAGTTTTGTTTCTCTCACCCTCTCTCGCTCTCTCTTCAGATATTTTCATCTATCCCCTCTCTTCCCCAACCCAGTGGCACATAAAGCTTTCTAGCATAAGTCCAGTTCTGCTCAAGGTAACTCAAGTCTGAATAAATTGCTTCACTGATGTTGGTTCAACATGGGTCAAATCATTTCCCATCTCGAGGTTTGACTTTTGTGAAACATGAAACAATGTGTTAAGTCTAGACCTGCACTTTTGGAGAGCATCTTGGAATGATGACTGTTGTGATTGGGTGCTACATAAATAAAAACTGATTGATGCATGAGTCATTATCTTGTGAGCACAATATTATCCTGAGTGCACAAGTTAATCATATTTTGTCACATAGCATGATAAGCTGTCTGCACATTTTTCATTATTTTTGGGGGGACTTCCAGGTCTCAGAACCAAGGGTAAATTTCACAGGGCTGAGGACACTTTTTATCATTTATATTACAGAATTCATTTGAAATAGGCATGGTTACAGCATCTATTTACTTTTTACAGTGTACAGATGCTTATTTGTCACCTTCAAATGACAGTGAACGACAGAAAAATGCCCAAAATCTGCAGGATCCCCCTCCGACAAAGTAAAGAACCAGGACCTTTCAGAGATGACTGCGAACTCTGTGGGAGCCCCATCAAACTATTACATCAAGTTTGATTTCTAATAGACATGATATTGATTTAATCATTGGTTAATCATGATGAATCTCACATTTCATGGCAACATTTAAGTTGTCAATGGCATATCAGTGTTTCTAATCATGAAGATCCAAATTGTTACATTCTGCTTCATGTGGACCTGGACCGGAAACAGTTGTTCGGCCCCACAAGTTCTGAGGGATTTTCGTATATACTGCAGAGTTAAATGTCCTTAACACACATTAACAGCAAAGAGTTCTTTGAATTAATTGAAAAACTTGGTTGAAAAACTCAGAAACCCATCTAATGCCCCTCAGGGTGATTTTTCTTTGTGGTGCGTAATGAAAATGTCACCAAGACATCTGGGATTAAATAGCTGTGAGTGCTAAGCAACAAGACTTGTTAAAGAGGTGAGCTTAACAGTCCCTCTGCTCAGCCACGTTGTATTGAATTGTAACTTGGATATTTCTGTTAAATTTTGTTATTTAACAAGTGTCATACTTAAAAAATTACTTTTCAGTGTGGAAGTTATTGCGATGCACTAAGATCTCATTAAATCTGTAAAGCGGGTATTTTCTCATAACTACCGTTGACAGGCCAGTGATCCATGGCCTGTGTCATCTTTCAAAAATCACTTTAATTAGCAAAAATAGGGTGTAAAACAAGGCTCCGGCACATTTGCACACTGCGATAAGCCTCACTTTCTTAGTTTCTTCTTCTCTGCTGTATTACTGCTTATGTAAGTTGCTGGTTTTTTTTTTAGTTTGGTTTTTGGGGGTGTTTTATGAATGTTATTATTTTTGCCTTTTTATTATTTCATATCAAATAAAAGGAGGCGTCTCTGTCTCTCATATCATTTTGTGTCCCTCTTCACCTGTCTCATTCTTCTTCTCTATCACAGCTGAGGGCCTTGGAGGGAATGCACATTTCAGCCATTGTACCCCTCCCTCCTCTCTCTCTCTCTCTCTCTCTCTCATTCTCTCTCTCTCTTCTCAGTCTGTCTCTCTTCTCATTTCTAGCCTCTTTTCTATTCCCTCCTCTCTGAGCTGAGGAACCACAATGCTTGTTATTAACTTTCTCATACCATTTATCTCCCTTTCACCACCACTATTACCTTTCCCAGCCTTCTGTCATCCACCCCTGGCTCACCATCTCTCCCCTCCTCTCTCTCCTCCTCACACACCATTTGTCTGTTTCAGTCTCATCAATATTCTCCCTCTCTTGCAGACAGCTGGCAAGTTCAGCACCCCCAACCCATCTTCATACTTCTCTATCCAATGCACCATTCTATCTTCTGTTAGTTACTGCAGCATGGTTCCTGTTACACCTGTCAGCATGGCCGTTTGATCTTCAGGAGATCACAGCACTGCCAGAAAGCATTTTACCCAAGAACATGACGGCATTTTCATATATAGTGAGATTCTGGGACGGCAGATTAATGCATTGAATGGTGTGCTAAAATGTGCGTTAGATGTTTTTTTGTAGAGCTGGTGGTTGTCTGCCCTTCAACATTTTCACAGCATGAGAACGAGAATGAAAAATAAATTAATAAATAATCTAGGTCAGTTCAGGTCGCTACTGCAGAGGCCTGAGTTAAACAATCTGCCAAGAGCTGTAGAGGTCTACCGGAGTCCAATTTTCAGGACTCATCACTTACCTTGGATGTAAATTTGTACTGAAAGCATTGACTGCATACAAACAGAAGATAGAGAATCTGAGTTGTAGTGTGTTTTTCTTCAAAAGATTGCATACTGATAGCAAGGAGCAGTGTATCATATTTGGCCCTGGAGGAGAAGACAGGCACCAACTTTTTACAGTTTAGGATGATGAAAATTAAAGGGATATTCTGGCGCTTGTAGGGAGACCTTGGGCGAGTCCTAGCCACTAAGAAATTAGTGGCTAGAGCTATGGCTGTTGATGAAGTTAGGTGCTGTTCTGAGCATTATTTGTGGCTTTAGAGTGGCGTTTTGGTTGAGGTTTGTTTATGGCTCCTTAGATTGCTGTGAATTGCTATTGTGCGGTCGTTACTAGAGTTGGTATAACTAAAGAAACAAGCAGTCGGCAACATTCATCTCTTGAGGGGGTGTCTAACTTGGTGTTACGGTGTGTTTGACCCTAAATTAATTTTATGCCAGAATATCCCTTTAAGTTAGATTGTTCAGTTGGTTATTTTTAATGTGTCTGTTTTCTAGCTTTGGAACAAACATTAAATTTGAAGTGTAGGGTGAAGTCTTAGTTTGTGTTGACTGCTAAGTGTTTCCATAGACAGCTGATCAGGTAAAGGACTAGCTTCCCAACTGCACTGTGTTACAGCTCAGACTAATAAACCAAAAACTTCCCTCTGTATTCTTCCACACTTCATTCAGCCCTTTGGTCCTGAACATTTGGGATTCCATAAAACTTGAAGAACCTCAGCAGTTACTTATTTATGTTGTTTGTGTTGAAAGAATATATTTTTCTCCTGCCTTTTGTGTGGCCAAAATTCCTCTTCCACATTCATCATGTTGGTTTTAAGAATTCAACCTGCAGGCAGCTGGAACAGAACTCGCCATTCATGCTGATAATAACCTTTACTAGAAGGGACAGTTTTAACTTGAAAGAGTCAGTCAAAGTCAGTTGCAGATTTTTGCATAGTTTTTATCTACAGTTCATTGTTTTTAGTCTTTAAAGTCGAGCCCTTGGAACATACATTGATGAGAAATGCATTAAAGAAAAGCTGCAAACACACAATGGCAGAAAAAAAAAACATAATCTGGCATCTAACCTTTATGAAAAAATTTAATTTTTGTTTCACGCACTTTTTGATAAACTTAAAATTGGTTTCCTTATTCCTCGATGTGTTACTATTTTTAACTTAACAAAACCAAAAACTTGAATTTTAGCGTATAAAGCTGATGACCAACAGGCTGTGAGTACTTTAATCTACAGTCAATTCTATTCTGCATGTGTGCATGAATTCATTCGTCCTAATTTGTTGTGTTTTCACATTCCTGTGGTTGCTCTCTCCCATGACCTGTGGAATTTCCTGGAATTCCTTGTTTCCTGATCACCTGTTATTGTCTTCCATCACATGCTTAAACAGCGAAATACAGGGACACATCCATATACCACACAGTGCGAAGAGTCATACACACACACAGAGCTGAACACAGCGGTGCTGCTGTATAATGATCTATTATAACGGGAAGCTGCTCTTTTCCTGTTAAAGGTGTGTGTCTTTTTTCAAATCTGTCCTTGAAAAAAGTATGTGAGAAAGGCTCATGATGGCAGCCTGTGAGTAGACAGATGCTGTTGAAGGGAAAATTGTGCAGCTGTATTCTAATTTAAGTGTTATTAGATGTAACTGAACTGTAGGGAAGATCAGATAGAGATGACAGTGAGCTGGACAGAGGAAAAATGTAAATCTAGGAACACACAAATTTTAATTAGCACAGACCCGAGTCTGGGTCCTGGGCAACATATAGTCTTTGCAGTAGTGAGGTTTGAGAGTAAGCTTTTAGTTTTGTTCATTCCTATTTTCAGATTTTAAAAGTGTTACAGAGCAGTAAAAAGGCCAAAAAATATAATATTATTATTATAGAAAATAATAATAGTAAGAACATTAATTAAAACATTTTATACTAGTGGTTCTCAACTGGTCTCACTCTGTGACCCACGTTTTCCCATGGTCCGTAAGTCACAACCCACTTTTATAGAATTCAAACCAAGCAAATTTATTTTTTATTAAAAGACTCCGATCTTTAACATAAATCCACTTGTTTTATTGAGTAAAGAGCAGTTCAGAGCGCATGAAGGGGACAATATGAGGATAACAACTACTTAAGTTGCATCTACAGAAAATATCAAATGTCTAATAAATATCGCATTAAATATTTACTTTTTTGACCAGCTGTTTGTGACCCATCCAGAACGTGTCCGCGACCCACTTTTGGGTTGGGATCCACCAGTTGAGAACCACTGTTTTATACCATGGCTGACAGACATTAACACCTCATTTTTTTAAAATCAAAAACCTTTTTTGTCTCTTTCAGGTTACCATAGTTGATCCTGCTTACTACTGCAGTCATAGCTTGTAAATAAAAGTCAAAAATAATATGCACATCATGTTGAAAAGCCTCAAAACATTGCCCAAGTAATTCAAGTTGCGTGTAACAAGGATTGCATTCATCTAGGACCTCCGAAATAGAGACAACAACCAAACTGGAGTTCCTGAAGTGCAAATGTTGTTGCATCAATTTGGGATCATTGGACATTGGTGAGTAATAAAATAATTACAGCCTCTGATAACATTTCATGCTGCTGGCTAATGGGTTAACATCTAGCCACAGTATCAAAGAATTGAATAAAAGAGAGATAATAAAAGAATAAAAGAAAGATATTTGTGGTGTCCAGAACACCTCAACCTCTAAAGACTACAGAATGGTGCCTGCCTTCATAAGCTGCTTGAAGAACACGGCTCCTCTGAACATACTGTACATGCAGGCAGCCCTAATGTCACATCCCATTTACTCGTCAACTTCTTACTTAGGGCTGATTTTGACCTGACACTTCTGTGTGAAAATATTGACGTTGTTTTGGAGATAATTGCATGGCTGGCTAGCTTACTAGTCCGCTTGTTAAATCTACTGTCAAATCAAATTTTCTTGAAATAGAACACAGCTAATGTAATTTAGATTCATTCATGCTAGCGCGCCATGAGCTCTTTGGTTCAAAGTGAGTTCAGTGCCCTTAATTCCGGAGTAGTTGCAGTTTCGTAAGTTGCAGTTTATGTGGATTCAGATTGGTTGGTGCAAGGAGGACGTGACAGCTGCTGAATATCTTTATTCTCATTTTGGCAAACTCTTTAACAGGTCAGAGCCCTAAATTCTGCTGTGAACAGCACATTTCATGTCCGTCTGATGGACCATTAGTGAATTAAAGACTAATTTCTGTAGAGGGACTCGCCAAATTTTTATACACTAGTTTTATCCCAAATTTTGTCCATCAGAGTGTAAAATTGTGTAACTTTGATACCAGACACAGTTGAAAGTTGTTGCATCTTTATCTTTAACTCCAGACCTGCACATTTTACTTCCTCCAGTTTGATATTTGTTGACCAGCTCTTAGTTTTTGCACATGAATGAAATGGTTTTTGGCAGCATGTCTGTTCGCTGCAGCAGGCATTTCCTGGCAATTCACTCAGGACTTAAGTGGTTGCCGGATGCTTTGAATGAAGTGGGAAAGTTGTCCTCTGGCTGGGAATGAAGACCAAAAAGTGTTTGAAAAAATATTGTGTAAAAAAAAAAAAATAATCAAAGCATCATTCCATTTGGCCAGAAGCACGATTGATATTAGAATTCACTATATGGACAGTTTTGCAGCATAAATGCAACAATAAACACTCTTTACTGGTATAAAGCACACCAATAACTCCATGCCACCTGTGCTGAAGTCAGTTCCCCAGTTAGGCCACTCCAGTTTAGAAAGTCTGGAGATGCCCCTTCTTGTAAGTGCACAACCCAGGTACATTATGTTATTTTGCTTAACAACAGGTGGATCCATCCAGAACAGAGGGCTCTGCTGATGGATCAGAGAAAACTGAAGTGAAAGACAAGAATTCAACTTCTGTCTGCATAAAAGTAAGACAACTAAGAGTCCTACTTTTCCGACCACTGGAGACCCCATCTCTAGTATTTTCAATTCATGACACTTAAGTCCAAGTAAAGTCATTGGTGTTTGAGTCCATGTAGAGTTATAAGTCCTTTATGATATTATTACATCAAGTCAAAATCTTTTCAAATTTGTGACTCCAGCCCAAGTCATGTGACTCGAGTCCTCACCTCTGCTCTCTCTTCTCCCTCTGATGTCCAGTTCTCTACCCTGATATGCAGTTGTTTCTGTGCCTTAATGTAAACAGAATTCTATTTTCAGTTTTAAAAACGCAGTCCTCAAAACCACTAGAACACACAGACTGTTGCTACAGCAGGGTTGCCACTAGGAATTGCAACTGCAAAAACCAAGCAAAAGACGGAAGCAAACTGTGGGGTTGGTCGCTTTGTTTTGTTGTATAGATGAGGAATTAGCAGTGTAATGATGTGACGTATACTATTGCGTCAAGTCTTAATGGAGTCCTGTGCTCAAAGGTCAAAGCCATGTTTACCACTGGTTTATGGGAGATAAGTACAAACCTTAAACAGTTGATTGGACAGACTTCTCTCCCCATTTGATTTTGAGTGATAAATCCAGTTTGCTCTCCACACTTTACTTTTTGATGTACTCCTGCCCAATTAATGGTTAAGCAGACTTCTCTAAGCTAATCAGCAGCTAAAGTTAATTAAATAATGACAGTAAAAAAAAAAAGACAAAAAGAGGGGCACATGGGTCAGGACTAATCAAAGACAATCAGTACATTTGCATGCACGGTTAAGTCAAGCCACGGTCACAGCTCAATTAGGCGATTTAACTGGACCTCTGTCCTTGTCCCAGTTTACAAGCACTGGACCAAAATCAAATTATGGACAGAAGCATGTCGACCCCTAACCACATTATCCAGGTATGTTGGTCCGACTATGACAAGTTCGATTTAGGGCAGTTTCAGTCGGACAAATGTGTTTATATGTTTTTTGAAAGTCCTGTCTTGGTAGCACCATGGCAATTAATCGACTCTTTTTTCTAACAGTGTCTAAATATATTGAATAGACAGGAATTGGCCTCAAAAACAAGTTGGAATTAACAAAAAACATTAGCAAACACACAGACGATCTTCTTTAGGGACAAACAGCATCGTTTTATCACCAACAGTCATCTACAGCAGGTGAAGAAGGGAAAGGTGAACGTGAGGTGAAAGGGGAAGTAAGAGTGCTGAGAGGAGTAGGGAAGTAGAAGATGGAGCGTTTGTGTAGTATCCAAAGGTGATAAAAGGACGGATTTTTGACAGCAAGGTCTCTTCAAAATTTAATGGCACATCGCTGATCCCCCATCAGCACTAAAAAACAGTTTTAACAGCTGAGAAAAGTCGTGTGTGTGTTTGTGTGTTTGTGTGTAGATCTGCATGTGTACCTGTGTTGTTTGTGCTCCTTCCCCAGCATGCTTTCTCTCTCTCTCTTTCTCACTCTTGAGCATTAATACATCCACCTCTCCTTCCACAGTTTTGTTTACAAGACTGTGTGTGTGTGTGTGTGTGTGGGTGTGTTTGCATGCATGTGTGTATGCGCTTCCTGCTATTGTATTTTACACTAGCCTTCCACCTGGCAGTAATGACTTTGCGTGTACTTGAGGAACCTGCCTACACTAAGTGCAGTTTCCATGCTGGGTTCATGGCTTTTTGTTGGGGAGGGTCATTGCAGTCGTTAAAACTCCAGGGGTCTTGTTTTTAAAACTGATTGTGCATTCATTTCTCCATTTGGCAAGTATAATTCTCATGACAGTATCCTTCAGTTTTGCATAACCAGCCTAGTGGCAAAATACACCTGTACAATTACAATAGCTTTAATACTTCATTCCTTTAAAGAGTGATATGTCAAAACAGTTGCCTTCATACTTGGATCTGATGTTGTGAAATGATATCTACTGTAACATTGATAGTTTCACCTACAATCCCAAAAGCAGCACTACAGGTCAACATCCCTGCATTTGACATCCGTTTGCTGCTGTAGCTACAGCTGCATAACGACTCATTTTAACTTTTAACTTTCTCCAGAAGATCTCCAAAGTGGAAAAGTAATAGACATAGAAAGTTAAAGAAAAAAAGCTTATGAAGATAAACATATGCAGTGAATCAGATTTACACAGTGCAGATCTGAAGTGTCATTCTTCTGTATATGATGGAACTGACTTGATAAGAACTGCGCACCAAGATGCAGAAGGTAAAACTAGCAAAGAGATCAAATTTAGAACCTGGCCGAAACTAACACAACATCGAAGTCTTTATATGTTAAAATGAAACACAATAAAACTTATGCACATACAGGACAAAATGGGCAGGGATACTAGAGGTGGGAGAAAAAATCGATACAGCATAGTATTTTGTCGGGTGATATATCGTATCGTCTCATCTACCAAGTATCGATTTTTCAAATTAATTGCTAATATGAAGTCAAATCAATAATAATGGAAAAACAAAATCAACTGTTTGTCCAGTGAGGTTGGCAGAGGTGACATCATAGAGCAGGAGAAAGTTAGTGCAACAAATATATATATATATATATATATATATATATATATATATATATACATAAGGTCTGTAAGATGTGCTGTATGAAAATAAAATACTGTATAAATAAGACAAATATAAAGGAAAGACAAAAGCTAAATTAGCTAAACAGTTGAAAAAATTTTATAAATCGTGCTATAGTGTATCCCAATACTCACTGTATTAAAAAATGTTAAAAATCGCAATGATATTGTATAGTGGCCCAAGTATCCTGATAATATCATATCATGGGGCCACTAGTGATTCCCACCCTGAAGGGATACCAGGTACAGCTATGAGCGAAGGAAAATCAGTACACAGCAGAAGTTTCACAAAGAAGCTTTGAACACAGCAGCTTTTAGGAAAACTCCAGTCACTCCTTCTCAACTTCTTTCGATGTGCATTGATCCGCTATCCTCTGAGAATGAAATAACAAGCTGAGTTGAAGAGATAATTTGCAAGCTGGCTGTAACGTAGCAGATTGAGAAACTGGAGTTTTTCCACAGGAATTTCTGATTGATTGACAGCTCTGTCAACAAATGCAAAACAGGGATGCAAAGGGGCTGGTGTTCTAGCCGGTACGTTTGTCCTGATTTGCAAACCCAATTATATAAATAAAAGAAAATTTGATTTGGAAAAGTCTGCATCTTGAATTAATCTTTAAATTGCAAAACTTTCTTAAAAAAATATGAAGAAAGGAAGGGATGTGCTCTCCTTCAAGGGCTTTTACTTAGTCTGACTACTTCCTTGATTAAAAATGATTTTGATAGTCAGGCCTTCTCCTAAAATTGTTGCCCAAGGATGCTTTAGCTGGCAAAATGCAATTTCAAAATGCTGTGGGAAAACATATCTGCCAACCACGCTGACAGCTGCCCCTTTTTTTAAGTGTGGAGACATCATCGCTGGACATTTAAAATATGGATGGCAGACTGCGCACAAACACGCACAAACGCGCACAAACGCACGCACGCCAAATCTGAGAGCAGGACAAGAGGTTCCTAATGGATAAAACTAGTTGTCATTTGGATACAAGCATATTTGGTTTCTATCTTCCCCCTCTAATGCATCCAATATGTCAAGATGAATATCACAGAGAGAAAAATTCTGGTGAAGAAGGAGTGGTACGAGCAAGAAATGAGACACTTGAGCATAAAGATAATGTGGCAGATGGGGAAAGATGTCCGAGGTGACAGGAGAAGTGCTGTTCAGGGTAAAATGCTTCAGAAACATTTCTCCTATCCAGCAAAGCTAAATATAGGCTCATTAAAAATCTAAAGAGCCCATTGGGGGGGAGGGGCAGGAGTGTAGATACAGACAGAGTTTGTCAGAAACACAGACAGAGAGAGATTAGAGGGGGAGATGGACAGGTAAAGAAGCTTTGAGGGCTCGGGTGATGATGAGAGACCAAGAGTTGTGTTGGATTTGGTATGAAAAAGGCAAGAGCGCACATAAAAATGCAAGGAGCTTTTATATGTTTTATATAATTTTTTTCTTATAACCACACGTGCAGGAGACAAGTGTGTCACTCCCATCTCATGGCAGCAACCAGCTTGCCTGCTTCTCCACTCTATTCTCTGCTCTCATCCAGTATTCAAAAGCCGGGCTCCTTTTTGGCCAGCAGAAATAGAAAAACGCCTCATTGTCATGTTTCACTTTCATTACGTCTTTAATTGAAAATCGAGGTGGAAGAATAGAGAGGAGCGAGGGTAAAAACTGAGGAGATAAAAGGCTATATAAAATAAAAGGGAAGATCTGAACGGACAAAGTGTCACTTTGTCCAAAGAAATATCGAGTTCAAGCTGGAACACGTGCCTTCCTACACAGTTTGTAAAGATACCGCAAAAATAATCCAAAATATAACAGGCTCCACACAGCCATAAAAGGTCAAATGTTTGCTCAACATCTCTTACTTACTTGCAGATGGGTGGACTGTTTGTGCACTCTGAGTTTATTCACCCCAAATAGCTAACGTTCAGACTGTACAGACATTTGCTGTAAGCTAGTTAGCAACGGTTGCCAGGGTGTGTGTGTGTGTGTGTGTGTGTGTGTGTGTGTGTGTGTGTAGCAGATCAGTCTCTGTCTGATCTCAGAACTCACCAGAAACTCAGAATTTTCTGCTGTCTCTGTCTTTTTTCCTTCAGTTTCAGTATGTTTATAAAGCAGGATAGATTCGTACGGCTGTGGGATAATGGAAATTTGCGCTCAAAGCACTTTTTTGTGTCTTATGCCTTATGTGAACCAGCCTTGAGCAACTTTTTTTGCAGTTTTTGCATTAAATATTTGATCTGAATTTTATTTCACATTTATTGGTCTTTATTTGCAACTACTGCTAACAGAGCTTTGTGTTATTTTAAGTCCTAGGAATATCACACGCCCCAAGAGGTGTAAAAGCATAGGTATTTATACTGAATGGTTTCAGTACAGGGCTTTTGGTATGGCCCAAATGCACACCCATATACTGTAGATGCATGCAAACTAGGGCTGCAGCTATCGATTATTTTAGTAATCGAGTACTCTATCGATTAATCTGTCGATTAATCGAGTAATCGGATAAGAAATGTTTTGCTCTCACTGTAATACTTTGCATTGAATCACGTTTGCCTCATTAAAAACCATCAGTAACACACAAAACTGAAATAGGCCAGGTCTTTCAAATGAATATTTTTACTGCATAAATCAGGAACCAAAAGTTTTACATTTTACCATGTAGTTCACATGAAACTACTGAAGGCAAGGTCTGCAGATGGTCTTTTAATTGCTATGGTAATGATCTTTGCAGTTTTCACTAAACCAGTCACAACTATTTCCAGGCTTTGGATCTAATTTTACTTGTTTAATTAATAGGCTGAAATAATATAATTCTTGGATACTAACATAATTTGACAAGCAAATGTACATTTATTCAATATATAAAAGTGTTACATTTTTATTTACATGTTGTTGTGTGTTGGTCATTTTGCAGCCCTCTGCTGCTTATCACACGCCTAGCAGGTGGTGTATAGCATTATCACCATGGATACACGGATGTTTGTGTGATTTTTTTCATCCACTGCCGCCCGGTTTGTGTCGTGTAGATGTTGATTATGAAAACACTTCGCAATAATTTGGAAACGTGAAGGGGGAGCTGCTGCTGCCCGGTGTTTACGGTAAATAGACGCAAACACCGACCAAGTGGACGCTTCGGTCTCCGAAAACGCCGAGACAAATTTACAAACAGCCACTATTTCAAACAACTGGGCTCATAATCGTGATGTAAACACTTACTTTCTCGCTAGAAAAAATATTATTATTGAATGAATTTATATAATTTGTCCGGTATGCAGTCGTTCTATGTAGCTTGTGGTAGGACTATTTAAATTTTCCCGGCGCTGCGTCCGGCCGGCACGAAATGCATTCTGGGGTATTTAGTATGTATGTGTGTAAACGCTCGGGCAGCCGCGGCATACTCAAATCATCTTTGAGTAGTCAGTAGGCAGTAGCTACTGCTTGAGTAGGTAAGTAGATAGCAGGCAGTATGCCATTTCGGACACAGCTTCTGTCTGTCCTCGTTTCCCTCCATGATTGAACCAAACGCGCGGCAGCGGAAGGAGCGGAAAGAGCACGCTTCTGCGCAACAGAAATAACCGTCCGTGTCAAACACCGTGCGCTGCACATGGTTCCGGATTTAAACGATTCCTCGAGGCATATAATTTGCCTCGAGGAATTTTATTAATCGAGTTACTCGAGTTACTCGAGTAATCGTTTCAGCCCTAATGCAAACCTAAAGGTACTTCAAATCTGATGTCCCTGGACAACCCAACAGATGAAAGCATAGCATGCTCAGCCCGTAGTATACCAACATATTTGACTTTTACAACAAATCACCTCAAAATAAACTGAATATTAAGAATTTAATCTTTATCATTATTACACCATCGGAGCATTTACAGGAGAATGTGTTTTCACCTTTCTTTGTAAATCCACACACAAATTTATTAACGTTTCATGAATGAAACCCATCATGCGAAACATGAAAAACATATGAAATGTATATCATTATGTGCCTTTCTACACTCAGCTCCTTTTCTGGAAGAACATGCAAGAATGAGAAATGAAGAGAACAGAGAGCCGATGTTCCACTAGTGTAGCATAATGAGGTCTGAAAGGTGTTGCCAGGTGCTAGTCCATGTATATTCCTCCGAGTTATAGATGGAACTGGATGAGCATGAAGCAACCAATTGCACTGAGTGAGATATGAAGAGAGAGAGAGAGAGAGAGAGAGAGAGAGAGAGAGAGAGGTCTTGGGAGGAATGGGAGCAGAAGACGGGAGAGCGCCTTTGAGGAGAGAGCAGCTGTTCAGTGAAACGGCCGCAGGGCAAATTTCAGAATGCATGACGAGGGGAACCTCCAAGGCCTGGGTACATACACTGACACACACAATTCCAGGAATGAGAGATGAGAGCCATGACATTCAGCACACATGCATGAACACATATTCATGCATTTTTGGTATGTACCATATAAAGATTAATAGATTAAAAAAAAAACATACACATATAAATATATATAGAGATAATAACTCTGCTTTTTTGTGCATGTCTATCTGAATGTTTCCTATGAGTGCTGCTGCCATCATCTAATACATGGTGTAACTTTCACCATTTGCGCAGAGATGATTTATGTTCTACGTAGATATATTGAATGCAGAAGATGAAAGAAGTCAAGGATTCTTCTTTTTTTTTCTCAATGTGATCTCATGATAACAACTTATTGTCTTGTTATTTGTTGTTCTTGTTTTTTTGTTATGTCAACATATCAAAGAACTGTGCTAGAAATCTCGCCATACATTTTTCCATCCTCAAACAATTGTTATTTTATTTTGGCACTGTCCTCTAATCCGGCCATTTTTTTCCTTATATTCACCTTCTACCATTTATCCCATGAGTTTGGTGAAAGTCTCTTTCTGGGTCACGCAACTCGCGGCAAACAAAAATATCCAAATGGGAAACGCCCATCGCCTGTTATTATGGAAAAATGAGTTGTTTTCCTTTTTTTTTCATTTTGAGTTTGGGAATGAATATTTAGACAACAAGTCATAATTTCATTTTGAAGCTATGATTTTGTTTCGGAAAACAAATGATTGAATGAATGATACACGGATTTATAGGTTATAAACTCGAAAAAACTCAAAAATAACCAGAACAATATGTGAGTTTCAGTGTGACTCAAATCTCCTTTCCTGATATTTATTTACATATGGTACGGCAGATATTATTACACTATTTACAGTCTTAAAGACAGAGAAGTTTGGTGACCCAGCAATTCCCAGCAAAGACACAGCAAACATAAACCCCATCTAATTAGTCTCATTAATCAGAATAAGTGAAACACCTGTGAGGATGTGCTGAACAATTAAAGCAAAAGCGTCTTTCAAAAAACAACATACAAACAGAATCAAGACTTTTCAATCAAATCCCACTTTTTTAAAGTTACTACTTATGATTACTTGGACAATGTTTAGGGATTCCAAAAAGGTTTCAGCCCATTTTAAACAGGCATCTCTTTCTAGCTAATTGCCCTAATTTCATTCACTCTTTCTCCAAGCCCTTTTCCACTCTCTCCATCCCCTCTTACCTCCTGTCCCTCTTTATCTCAAGGGGCCGTGAGGGCAATTAGGTTGTTTTACTGCTGATCTAGTTTTACTGGCTCAGAAGCAACTCTATAAACACTAATTAACACACAAACGCACGCACACACATACACTACCCATGGCTGGTGGTAATTGTGTTCCCTAACAGCTTTCTGTTACTGTACAAACGACTCTGGAGTGTGTTTCAACCAAACGAGCATGTACCTGCTCAAAAACAAAGGCGTCCTCGGTCATTAAAAGTACATAAAACCCAACAAACTGTATAGCTCAGTTAAAAATATGCACCGGTAGTTTGAAGCTAAATTAACTACTGCATAATATCGTCATATTTTCGAACCCAGAATTAAATTAAGGAAGGTAATTGATAAAGAGTCATAGTTAATTATCTCTTTTTCAGTATTTCAAAAAGATATTTTACTGACAGCCTCATAAAATGAACTAATGTAATCAAACAGTTTAATGTTTGAATTATACATGTGCAAACTTTTCAGCGTGGGCTGTCCCTTTGCACTTATCTTTGAGATATTTAGAAATTACAAATGAAGAGAGACAAGTGAAACTGATGGATTAGACAATAACATTATTTTTCCCAGACTTATTACAGGCTTAAAGAAGAACACACGAACACAGAAGCTATTTTTACTCTTGGGAATACAGTACAGTGTTTACTGTACATTCTCGAATATAAATTTGACCCTTCTTCTGCTTCAACTTCTGTCAAGTAACCTGACCTTTTTAGGGACATCTGCCAAAAATTCACTGGTCTGCGAGGAGATCAAACCTCTTAGTTGTTATTTAGTCTGACGATTGATAGTTTGGTTGGTCTCCTCTTATTCCTAAGTATTATGAAATTTTTATTCCGTTCTCTAACCAGGTGTAGTAGAGATACCTTTAATGAATTTTTTGGCTACTTTTGGGTTGTTGAATGTGTGCCTGGAGATGTCCACTGTTATTTTCAGTCTTGCTAGGTAGTACGAACAGACTGGGACTCTACCGTTCCGCAACTTTTACCTCGTTGAAGGATGTTTGTAGCCGGCTGATCCTAGGACTCATATCAGGGAAGATATGGACATGGAGATGTCCTTTATTCTGGGATAGCTTAAAGACCCACAATGATGAAAAATTTTGTTTTTCTGTTTTTTTATATGTTCATATTCTGATGTTACAGGACATATCTTGAGAAAACTAAATGCAAAATTGCTTCTCTGAATATTTCTTAATTCAAATTGCGGCAGGTTCGGAAACAGTGAGATTTCATACGTAACTAATCCAAGCTCCACCCCTGTGGCCCCCGTTATGCAGACCACACTCTGCATATAGAGGAGAAATACAGGGGATGATCAGGGGATGAGGACGATCATGCAACAAGCGTGTACGTTAGCGGACTACAATGCTCGTAAGAAAGCCAAATATGATATTATATTAGTGCCCGAGAGCTGAATAGCTCCTATGTTACCGGCCACTTCTACTTTACCGGCCACTTCTACTACACCGGCAATGTTAGGCTGCAAGCTAACGTGAAGAGTGTGCAGAGCAGCGCTGTCTCCACCCACGACTAGGAGGCAAAGTGCTAATGATCTACTAAAGCTCTGAAGAAGAAAAGTCCTTGACAGGTAATGCGAGTTTTGGTAAAAACTTCAGAATCACAATTTAAAGACCACTGAGAACACTTTAAGTAGTAAAAAAAAAAAAAAAGATCAGAGTGGGACTTTAAGGATCTTTTC